GGCATCACTAAAAAAGGTAAAAATATTTAAATATCATTCTTAATAATTGGATATTAATATATTATTAATTATTCACTTATTTATTTTATTTAATTAAAATTATTTTATCTTTACAGAGAACACCAACAATTTTATGTTTATCCTCGAATATGTTAATGGAGGTTCTCTTCGTCAATATTTGAAAACCAATATCCAAAAAATGGATCGGAATGCCAAAATGAAAATGTTTTGATGTTTTACATTCTAATGATATCAATCATGGAAATTCGTAATTATTTTTTTAAAAATATTCTTATTCAAAATTAATTACATAAATAAAATATTTTTAATTTATTTTTTAAAATTTTGTTTACTGTAATTTGAATTCTGAAAATATTCTTGTTCATAATGGGATCATTAATTAAATATTGTTGGATTAACAAAAATCATTTCTGAATCTTTAAGTTTCCTTACAAATACTCTTGGCCTAATACAATACATGGATCCTCAATATTTGGAACTCTTCAACGTGATTGGCAAAAACAAGAGTTTTGATATTTTTAGTCTAGGAATGATTCTTTGGGAGATTTCTAGTGGTAGTCCTACTTTTGAAATGGAATCCTTCATCAAATGTTGATTTGTCAACCAATCTCGTAAAAGGAAAAAGGAAATGGTTATAACTGGAACACCTCGTAAATACAGGGAAAGATATACTGGTATAAATTAAAAAATATAATAAAATCATTTATGTCGTTTACATAATAAATTGTTAATGTTTGAAAGCACGATGGAAATTCACGACCAAGTTGTTAAAAATCTTTCTGAAATAATTATCTCTGATGCAAGCGTTGGATCTGAATCTCCTCATTCACAACTTTATAATGTCACGGAAAGTTTAAATATGTAATCTACATTTTTAAAGTTTTTTTTTTTATAGATATATTTAAATCTTCACAACATTTATTAAATATAAATTCTTCTTTATTAAGGAAATTAAACCTAATTCTCGTTTTGTCGATTTTACGACTGAAGTTAATGATTTATTAACGATCTGATTGAATTTTTCATTGATATCGCAAAACCAGTTCCGAACGTTTCAACCAAAAATATATTAGAGAGCGCAAAAAGAATCCAGATTAAATTCTATTAGAAATGATTGCCCATCCATCTTATTATTGGTTTACTGGCTTAATAGGATTTTTTTACTAGTATGGCATTCCATTTTTTCAACATCGCTCACGAGTTGTGAGGTGCAAAGCGATTTTCTACGAAGCTGTTTCTAAGATAGAAAGAATGGCCTTGTTCTTTGCAACAAAATGACATGTGTTTGATAGCATCGATATTCGCAGAGATTGTCTAAATAAAAAAATTTGGAAAAAATCGTGTGCAAATTTTTGATCAAATGTTTTACCATATTAAACGGATGATCTCCGCGAATATCGATGCTACAGGGATGAAACATATTTCATTTTGTAGCTAAGAACAAGTCCGTTCTCTCTATCTTAGAAACAGCTTAGTAGAAAATCTCTCTGCAAAAGTGAAGTCGAAAAAAATGGTAAAAGCCACACAAAAACTTGCGTAGGTGATAAAATTTGTGCAAATTTTTGTCAAATAAAATTTCCTGATATCTGTTATACCATTTCTTGCACAATTTATTGAATAATTTATTAAAGATATTCTAATTTCAAAAAAAAATAGTCATCATTCTTGTGATTTTGTCAAGAAAACAATTAATTGCTGTATTTTAATTACATATTTTAATCCATTAGCTTAATTGTAAATCTTATATGTGAGACTAACTGGTATTATAGATTGATTTTTTAAATTTTTTATTAATTGCCATAAGTTTATTAGATCAAATGACATTTTTGCTAGCTGAAAAATAAACGAAAAATATGACTACAATGATTAACTTTTTTTAATTTAACAGAAAAAAAAATGGATCACTTATAAATAATGAATCAGTTTTACTTGATTAACAGTCATAACAAATAGACTCAGATTTAACTATTAAATAAATAAAATTCATTAGAAATTTTCATAAGAATAAATAGTAAAATAAATCTCATAATAAATAGATTTTGTTATAAACCTAGTGGAATGTATTATCTAATATTTCAAACAACAAAAAGAATTACTTTTACCTTTATCTACACTAATAGTGAATTTTATAGTTATGTCAAAATTCCTCATTGTTTGGAAAATAAAAAACTTTGAAGAGTGTATGTATTTAAAACAATATTATCTAATGTATTAATTATTATTATTTTAGCACGGATAAACAGTACAATTTCTGAACATAGAACATATATCAAGTATTTGTTACAAAAAAAATCAGAATTAAAAGATTCTGTTAAAGATTTTGTTCACAAGGAAAATCAGGTTAACTGGATTGATTAATTAACAATGATTTATAATAATTAATTAGTAGCTGCGCATAATGTGATTCTGCGCTTTACCAGTACGATCCTTGCCTGTATGCAATTTGATATGATATTTGATTTATTAATATATTTTGTTAGTAATTATTTGGATTCAAGCTATATAAGGTTACATGAAATTGTTATAATTTTGTACTCATTTATTGTTTTGATAGGATTCTGCGAATGTTAAACTTGAGTGCTATATTTTAATTAGATGACAATAATTAGAGGTTTATTGTTTATTTATTAAGATCGAATATTATCTTATTTATTTTGTTTTAGTGTTATCTGCTATATAAAAATTTCAATCAATTCTACTATCATTTAAATCATACATAAATTTAGTTAATTGTTTAAGTTTTTTTTTGTAAAATCTTGAATGAATTATCTACTATGTCATTATTAATATTGAAGGTATAAAAAAAAAATTTTTAAAAAAAAACTAATGAAATTTACGTTTAGACGACGAAAATCTCTTTTTATATGCGATGATGTGGTCATATTTTATTTGCTGATTTCTTGTTACATTTTTAGAAATCAATTTTTGTCCTACAAACACATTAAAAAATTATTGATTTTTTTTGGAGATAAATTCGTTAATCTTTTCTAACTTTCAATAATTTGTAAAAAGAAAAATGACATTTAAATTTTTAGAGAAGTTATCTCAAGACATCTTCGAACTTCTTAATGATAAAGAAGAATGTAATGTTATTATTGAAGTCGGTCAGGAACAAAATAAAAAAAACTTCACTGCGCACTCAGCTATCCTACGTTATCGGTCATCTTACTTTAATAAAGAATTAACAAATACTAAGCTCGGTAATGATAATAATAAAATTATTTGTAAACCAAATATTTCTGCCCATATATTCGAAATTATTCTCAAGTAAGACTTTATACAATTTAATTATTATAAATTAATCGAGCAATTTTATGCGATATATATTGAGAAATATTAAATTAAATAATTTTAATAATTTTATATAGATATATCTATGGCGGAATTATTGATAGAGAAAATATGGATACCGGAACTATGTACGATTTAATGATTCTTGCTAACAAGTTGGAGTTTGAAGAATTATCCGAGAAATTAGAAAATCATCTTATTGAATCCGAAGCTTCTTGGTTAAGAACTCATTTCACTTTAGTCTATCATTCGATTTTTAAACATAAAGAATTTAAAAATTTAGAAAAATTTTGTAATGATATTATTTCAAATCATCCAAGTATTATTTTTGAATCCAAAGAATTCACTTCTCTTCATGAATCTGCTTTATTGTCAATTTTAAAACACGATGACTTACAGATGAAAGATTCAGAAATTTGGGATTATATAATTAAATGGGGAACTGTACAGAATCCTACTTTACCTGAAAAATTAGAAGAATGGTCTGACGAAAACTTTAATACTTTGAAAACAACTCTACAACAATGCTTACCACTTGTTCGTTACTTTCATATTTCAAATTCAGATTTTATGGACAAAATTAAACCATATATGAAAATTTTTGATAAACAGTTATGGGATGATTTGAAACAACATTTTGCACTTACAAATCAACCAAAATTGTTTTTACCTCAAGAATTACCCTCAAGAGTAATTGACTTATTTTCAACTATAATAAGTGAAGAACATGTATCAATGATCTCATCATGGATTGATGATCAACCAACAAGCTATTCTTCAACAAATAATCCTTATGAATTTCAATTAATTCTTCGAGGAAGTAAAGACGGATTTTCTCCAATAACTTTTTGGGATATTTGTGATGGGCATTCTAATACAATTGTGGTCACTAAAGTTAAAGGAACGGACGAAATTATTGGCGGGTTTAATCCTTTACCTTGGGATAAAACAAATAAAGGGTCAATAAAAACAAATAAGAGTTTTATATTTTCATTTGAAGATGGTAATATCCAAAATTCAATTCTTAGTAGAGTTAAAAATGAAAATTATGCTTTATGGTATCCTTTTAATAAAAATACTCGTGGTTTAAGATTTGGAGAAGATGAATTCGTGATGAAATCAAATGTATCCGATTTTACTCAAGATAAGCTAAGTTTGTGCAATAATAGTTCTTATAATTGTTATGAGAAACATATTAGAACAACTAATGATTATTTTTCTATATTGGATTACGAAGTATTTAAAGTTGTGAAAAAATCTATCTAAATTTTATTCTTTATTTGGTTTAATTTTATTATTTTATAGATCATTATACGTGTACATTATAAATTATTTTGTATAATAAACAAAGATTACTCATAAATAAATTAAATTTATTAAAAACTTCTGTTATTATATCAAATACGGCACCCATCACTGTAATATTTACCATGCTACTTTTATTATAATAATAATTTATTATTAATTCATTAATTCGTGATACTTAAGTTAAGACAATACTTTTAATATATTCTTGCAATTCCTAGAAAATCCATATCCAAGTATTAAAACACCTCTAATTAACATAAATCTAAAATTTCTTCACAGTTTTCTTTTCCTTTTGGGGAAAAAGGAAATTTTTAAGTTTTTGGGGGAACATAACCAAGGTCATTAGCTGACTAAGTGGGTCGATTTCTTGAGAATTGGTTATGTCGATGCCGATGGGTAATTTTTTAATTTTTAGTTTAAGATAGAAAATGACTTAAATCATGACTCAACTAACTTGGCTTATAAAATAAATTGTCTTCTAATTCCAATAACTTACATAATAACTTACATAATGAGAATAATAATTGAATAAAAATAATTACTTGAATGATAAAAATTTATTATTAAATACTGATAAAAAAATACTTTAGCATTAGATGGAAAAAATAATAATTATATAGGAAATTGTGATGATGGTAATCTTAAAAATAATGATTTAGCATTAGATATTGGAAAAGATAATTCTAATATTGATAATACTTTAGCATTAGATGGGATGATAACGTTGATAATATTAGCATTAGATGGGAGGGATGAAGATAATAATAATATTAGTGAAGAGGATGATATTGATGATAATATTAATAATACTTTAGATGGGAATAGTGATTATAATGATGAATTTTTTAATGATGTTTTCCCATCAGATGGGGATGCGAATGTAGGTTATGACATTTATTATGATCATTTAACATTAGACGAGAATGAAGTTACTATGGCATTAGAAAATTTGATATTAGATCTAGGGAGTTTACTATCAGATAGAGATACTTCAACATTGGAAAGGAATACTTAGCAATAGATAAAAACGATTTTGAATTAATAAAAGTGAGATAATAGAAATTCTGAAGAAAATTTTTGATGACTACATCTCAAATCTCAACAGTAAGAAAATATCCAAATATATTTTTAGGACTTTTAGGTCGTTTAGAGTATGTTTACTGTTCATATTTATGTATTATTAATATACATGTACATATATTAAGTATAAAATATCGTGATATCATGTAATTATGATATTGTAGTTTTAGATGACTTTATATCGTTAATTTTAACAATTTTATTAATGCTTTCAAAAAAAAAAATGCGATGTTTCTCCTTGGTAAGTTGATTACTGTTATTTTGTCTTTCAATTGCAGTTTTCTGAGCTTCGATCATTTAGTTGTAGCATCAACAAAATCAAGAATTCGAATTGTGGAAGGGAATGTGGATTATCATACATCCTTAAATTATATTTTTTGTTATTTAACAATAGTGATATACAATTTAAGTTAACTTATTTAAAGATAATTCAGTAATCTTTGTACGATTATTTAAAATCACTAAAAATGTTTCAAATGGAATTGTGGGATATAAATCTAGACAAACATTTCTTAAATTAGTATTGGCTCTTTTGAGAATTTTTTTAATAAATTCTTGAAAATCTGATAAATATACATATTTTAAACAAAGAATCTTTAATGTTTCTTTTTGACTAATGGCTTCAAAAAATGATCGACCTGCCAAATGAAATTATCAACAACTGTTAAATTTTCTAACCGTTTCTGAGCACTAAGAAGCTTTGTGAATAATTCCACTTGAGAAGGTGAACAGAAATCGAAATTTAAATCCTTTTTAAAATATCATTGCAACTCAATGTTAGTGATTCGTATAATGGACAAATCTTTTCATAACCGATTCTTATTATCAAAGTAAGACTTTCTAATTTCTGAAATACTCTTGCGGCACCAAGGAATTTGAGAATTGAGCCAATTGAACTACTATAATAATGAAACATTTTGGTAAATTTTTTGGAAACTTCCGTCAATTCAAAACAATCCAAAAATGTACAACGATCTATTATTAATCTACATATCTCACGAAATAATATTTTCGATTTGGTGGCTACAGTGAATGTTATCGATTATTTGTGAAAAATATTTGGAAGTAAAATAAAATAAATTATTAATTATTAATTTATGAGTAAATGATGGATAATCAAAAGTAGCTTGAGGTGGTGATTATGATAAATCAAATCCATTTTGTATAAGTAAAGCTCTAGCCCAAGTACCCATACACGATATATAAGTTCGAATACATAATACGTTTTTTCTCAACTTCTTATCCTTTGTACTACATTCTCGACCCAAAGTTAATTCCCAAAATATAAGTATAGTGACTTTACACCAGAATTGATTAACTAATAAAGATGAATAAAAATCTTGTAATGATTGAACCTTATTTAAAATTATAACCAATATTTCTGTGGTAATTTTATTTGCCATTTTTTTATATCGTATCGAGAAGAAAAATAGAAATTTAAGAAAAAAAGAATAATGATCACATAATTTATATATACATCACGTATTTTGCTCTCACCTGTGATGATATTTATACAAAAAATACACAAAATGCGCCACAACAAATATTTATTAATAACAAAATTAAATTTCATATTACGTATATAAATATTCTAGTATCTAACTTTAAAAATAATCTCGTTTACCTGTATTTAAGGATTTTCGTGCTATTTGTAATAAGACAAGTAAAGTTATAATTAATGTGGATATCTGGCCTGTGCCTGTAAAAAATAAAGTAATAAGTGGGTATAAATTAAATAAAATAAAAAATGAGAAAAATTAAATAAACTAAAAAAAGAAATACATTTTATTGGTATTGGACCGGTACTATCTTAATTTTTTTTTATTTTTTTTTTTATTTTTTTTTATTTTTTTTTTTATTTTTTTTTATTTTTTTTTTTATTTTTTTTTTTATTTTTTTTTTTATTTTATTATTTTTCAACTAAAACAAAAAGATATAAGTACTTAACTGTAAATTTAATTTTAAATGCCAATTTGCATATTAAATTTTTTCCAGGTAGAGGTTGTGAAATTTTTCATTTTTTATGTTTGCATTATCATAATCCTTTAAATATATATAATTAATGACATTCTAATATACATATTTATTCTTTTGCATCTTCATCGTATTGAAAGATTTTCTTTACCTTTTATAACGAACAAATAGCTTTTGTTTGCTTGTTCTCTTTTTTTTCCGAGTTGAATCTTCATCTTGACCAGAAAGACTATCTTTAAAAGAAAAGGAAGTTTTTTTCATAGTTTATTACAAATAAAAAGAAATGAGGAAAAACAAGAATGAAGAACGAATTTGTGAAAATTGGAAGTCTATTTATAGTAAAGTAATGATTATAAATTAATAGTTAATTATTTAAATGCCGTATTTCTAATTTTATTTTATTTTAGTATAATTAATCTGAATTGAAAAAAATAAAGAATCATTTTTCTGTTCTTGTAACGTTTTAAATAAAAACCTAAGTAAAAAAATAATTACCCTTTAAATCTATTTGTAAATATACATTTTATATTTATTGGGAGACTCTTGGCTACCATAGTTATCATTGGTCTTTAAGTGCTACATCATCAATTTCTGATGAATATATTTTTAATACAGGATTTAACATTCTTGGGCTACTAAAGTATTGTAACGAATAATTATTTAATTAAATAATCATATTTTTATGTAATAGCTGATGCTAATAGATATTAATATTTTAATAATTTATATTTTTACTTTAAAATGAAACTAATCGACGTAAACTTTAATAATTATATCAATCATATGATGACGAGCCCTTTCACCATGTAACAATCAAGAGATGAGAAACACTTTAGAAATTCAAAATTTCGATGCTGACATCCACGTTTTTATTATTTGTTTAAGGATGCACTTTTTCCAAGAAAACGTGAATATATTTATATGCGAAATTTGACATTCAGGGTTCCTAATTCTGCTTTATTGATACGGCAAAAAAATAAAAATAAAATAAAGAATAAAAATACATTCTAAAAAAGTGAGCTATTTTTCTATGTAACCTTGCCTCCGTGGAGGAGGTATCACATCATAACATTATTAATTACACAATGTAAATGCCATTCTAAAATATACAGTTCATTGATCAGTAGTATACCACTTTAGATAATACGATAAAAAACACTTACTCTTATGAGCATTAAAGGATGTACGAAACCCTCAATTTACTTAAAGGAATTCTTGTCTCGGCGATTGGATGGTAATATTTTACCCTTTTTCCCGTAAATAGTCCATGAACTTTAAAAAATCTTCTGCAATATTAACTCCAATTACAATATGTTTTTGGCGAACTACTACACTTTTTTGAAATTTCCTTGTATCCATATACACACGATCAAACCAATTTTTTATGATCTGCTAGTGTTTTATTATCATTAGTATCCCATTTACCGCTCTCAAAGTATATAATTTCATTCCATTTTTGTCGGAATGATGCCCGAATATAAGATCTGGGCTATCACCCCTCGCACCAGTTACTGTTGAGATTTACATTATGCGTTCGCCCCTGGACACTTCAACCTCGCAGTCAACTAGTAAACGATATATCAACGTGTCGAGAAAACAAGCCATCACTTCACAAGTGAATTCTAGAACCTTTGAAGGTTAGGAGGAGATGGTCAATTTTATAATTTGCAAAAGGCAGTCTGTAATGTTTCTGGCTCCTAATTCTCTTTCGTGAACTTGCTCAACCCACCGAAAATGTAGCACACTCTCATCTCGTGATAGCATAAATATACAGTATACTATTGTTGTACATCAGCATATCCGTTTTTTTTTGTGTTGTTCTTATTTAATCTGCTTTTTCTCCCTGCAATCGATAACATTAAGTACAAGATTTGGGAACAAAAAAATTAAGTATATCAAAGTAACACATTATACTTACGGGAACATCTTATTCATTCCCTGATATTTGAAATTGGTCAGAATAGAGATTGATAGCACAAATAGATAAAGGAAATTGTGAGATAAATTGTCAATCTTCACCTCGCTGGCGTCCCCATCCTGAAAAAGATAATTATCTCAATTCTTTAGCTGTGATGTTGTGATGAGCAAAAATTACACTTTCATACTACTTAAATTAGATTCTGCATCAACCTTCTATTCCATTTGTTCTTTGAGCTTATTACGAAACAAGTTTACATTCTTTAACGATCTAATTTCTTTCCAACAATAATGTGTCTACATTTAAAAGCTTAGGTTAACAAACTTTAGATTCATTAACGATATAAATACATGTGTAAATATTTTTTCAGTATTTCGCTGACGCATAATTGGGTACCCTCGATATAAAGTCTACTCTCAATATAGAAGCGTAATGTAGTAGATCCTCGCTGGTGACAACTCTATGCTTACTCAGACACATTACACTAGCAAATGTTTCAACTAATTTATTTTTTTTTTAGTCCATAAATTATAAATTAAGAAATTAATGAAATTATTTTGTTGGTATCCTTTAACTCCTCAAGATCAAGTTTGCAATTGATGTCAATATCTTCAACTATGTCTCTTTCAACGGGTCAATAATGCACTCGCAACATATTGCTTCTGTTCGTAATTCTAATATACAACATATACTATATAGCTCGTGAATTATTATAGCAATAGTTGTTTGCATTAAAGATTTGTCTCTTAATTTGTCATTTGATGAGATAGACATTTTGTAAATAAGATTCTTATTGGTGAAAAAAAAATTATTATTATGAAAGCGCAAAAGCCAAATTTTCATAACTTTGATATACTGAACTCATTCAAGTATTTCGAAGAATTAATTTGGAAAATAGTGAAACATATGCATTATAAAAGCGAAGCGATGCACGTAAATTTTTTTTTATCAACACAAAGAATATGTATGCACTTGATCGAATTTGATTTATTATACAATCAGGATCAAGATAAAATAAAGGGAAATAATATTATCAGAGACGAAAGTTATAGCATTTAAGCTTGTATTGACAGAAAAAACAATACATTATTCACTAATTTTTTTTTGTGGTTTTCTACTCGAAGGCATTTCAAAATAAAAAATTTTCACATGGTTTCTTTTTTTGTATTAAAACTAATTGTCATTGCTTTTGTGCAAGGAAGAGACGCTCATCACAAAGTATAACCAAATTATTTGTCAATTGATTCAAAAGCATTTCATCAAGATGCATTCAGAGATAAAATTATAGATTTATTTAACATACTTAGAAATTACATAAATATAAATATTTAGTTCATACATATAAAATTTAATGCTTATTAAGCAGTTATAATTTGGTAAATATAAGACATTATTCAGCTTAATATTGTGATGCTAATTATTTTTCTCTCTTTTTCTCTCGATATCCTGGAATACGAATTATTTGTGCTTCCCACATTCTTTCTTCGTCTACTAAATTTCTGAGTCCAGGCTTGTCTTTTCGCAGTGGTAGAAAATACCTGGCAAATTCCAATGAGCTGTTGGCAAAGTCTTTCCAATGAACCCTAGGCCAATATTCTATCTCAACTAGCTGAGGATTCCTACTTTGCAAATAGGTTACAGTGTTACCTATACCGTGTTGCCTCAATAACCAATTGCTATCTCGCCAAAGTCCTTCAGCGCCACCGGTGAATATTTGAAATTTTTAAGAATATTCAATAGGAGAAGATCATTCGAATGAAGATATTTTTAGTTATATTTTATTTCCTTCTCTATATGATTTTACGTACCAACGTAATGCTTTCTTTTCATCTTTGGTAGTACCGATTCCATAGAAATAACAATTCGCAAGACTAAATTGTCCACCACTATTTCCCCCTTCAGCTGACTTTACATACCATTGAAATGCTTTCTCATCATCTTTTGTAGTTCCAATACCAAGGAAATAGCAATAACCAAGTTTGTTCTGTCTATCACTATTTCCCCCTTCAGCTGATTTCAAGCACCAATCAAAAATTTTCTCTTCGTTTGTTTTCTTAATTTCATTAAGTAAAGTCTGTGCATCACTGTTTCCTCCTTCAGCTGATATTGAATACCAATGTAATGCATTCTCTTCATCTTTTACGGTTCCAATTCCATGTTGATAACAATAACCAAGATTAAATTGTCCTGAATGGTTTCCCCCTTCTGCTGATTTCAAGTACCACTGAAATGCCTTCACTTCATCTTTTGTAGTCCCTATTCCATAGAAATAACATTTGCCAAGGCTATACTGTCCTTTATGACATCTTCCTTCAGCTGATTTCATGTACCAATGAAATGCTTTCTTTTCATCTTTTGCAGTTCCAATTCCATTTTCATAACAATTACCAAGGTGGTACTGTCCAACACTATCTCTCTCTTCGGCTGATTTCTTGTACCATCGAAATGCTTTCTTTTCATCTTTTGTAGTTCCAATTCCATGTTGATAACAATAACCAAGATTGTACTGTCCTTCACTATTTTCCCCTTCAGCTGATTTCATATACCATCGAAATGCTTCCTCCGCGTCTTTTGCGGTTCCTATTCCATTTTCGTAACAATAACCAAGGTTACTCTGTCCCAAATGGTTTCCCCCTTCTGCTGATTCCAGGTACGACTGAAATGCTTTCTTTTCATCTTTCTTAGTCCCAATACCAAATCTATAACAAGAACCAAGATCATTCTGTCCATAACTATCTCCCCCTGCAGCTGATTTCATGTACCATTGAAATGCTTTTTCTTCATCTTTGAGAGTTCCGATTCCTTTTTCATAACAAAAACCAAGTTCCTCCTGTGCTTTAGAATTTCCTTTCTCAGCAGATTTCAAATACTTTTTGAATTTTCTTTCTTCACGATTTTCGATGGAACTTGAGAATAATCTAGTTAGCATTTATACTTCGTAGTTTCAAACCTTTGTCAAAACTATACTTAAATGAAAATATATAATTGGCAATTCATTATCTACTTATTATGAATGAAAAAAGAAAATAGAATTTTCCTTTAGATGATCTCGTTACACATAATTTTATGTGCATATGATGCATTAGTTTAGATTTTCAATTGGATTTTTAATTGTTCGTATGACAAGTGGTCTTTTTTATACAGATAATAAATTGTACAAATGATTATATAAGATTTGTCACTTGTCTGGTTTTTGATTATGAAAAGAGGGGGATATGAAGACGCAATACTTAATCATTAAAAAATGACTAATTTTATCGGGTATGCATACATATATTCTATCTTTTCAGAGGAAAAGTAACTTTTAATTAAATTTATAGAATTTTTACTTTTGAATTTTCAGTTATATTTATTATTTATTTTTATATACAGTAGTTTATTTATTTATTGGCCCATTTATATATTCAAAACTTCATTCACACGCACGAAATTCTCCTTTTATAAATTTGTTTATATTTATTATAATTCATAATATAGGCATAGGAAATACAATCAAGAAATTCTAAAAATTAAAAATTATATTTTATATGATGATATTTATATCAATCATGGTACAGTTGGAGGAATAGAAAACAATAAGTTATGGAATATAATTATACAGCGAGTTTATGATTGGCAGTTACGTAAAATCGTAGATTGGTATGACCGAAAATATCGACGAACTAAATTTATTTATAAAGAACTTTAGAATATTTATTTAATAAATCTTAGATGACTAGATAATAAAAATTATACTAAGAATAAAAATTAAAAATTTCAGTATATCACAATATAGATTTTTGATATAGATGAATATCATTATACTATGTTCCTAATTATATTCATAAAATCATAACTTTCAAAAATAATTTGATTTCATAAAATATTGAAAATAATAAAAAATTTCATAAATATATCTATTGAAAAAATTAAATTCCTTTCCTTGTATTTTAACAAGATTTGATTTTGGTTAGTACTTAAAGATGGCTTTGATGAAAGTATTAAAAACTACATATTATTACTATAGAGAAAAATATCCATCTTTTAATGCATTTGTAGGTTAGGTGAACGAAAATTAATAATTAAGTCTTTAATACCTGTTAAATAACTTTACTTTGCTTAAAGCAGTTTACTTTGAACACTGTGTTAAAATTACATGACAAATTTCTAAAAGTATAAAAAAATTCGTGAGTACATGAAATTAAAAAAAATGTTCATCTTTGATGAATTTGTAAGTTATTTCAATATTCAAGTAATAATATTTTATAATAAATATGAAAAATCTATTAGAAAAACTGAAGAAAGATTTTCTATCATAGATTATGAAGTATTTAAAGTTGTCAGAAAATTCTATCAAAAGTAATCTTTCTCGTTTCATGATTAATCATTACATTTGTTTCGAGAATTATTTAATTTAATAAGAGATTATAAGATAGTAATTCAACTTTTCAATAAATTAAAATTATTACAATTATTTATTTTAATGCAAAATACAGCCAATTTTATTTATTTAATAATCAGAAATAAATTATTATTATTATTATAAATTTTTGACTAAAATTTAACTACTACATTAAATCAAAATCAATAAACATGTATGTCAAAAAAGCAGGATACGACTTTGGAAAAATAATTAAAGATAAATATGTATATATAGTAACTGAAAACGTAATATTAAATAGAATATGTTAGAGAGAAATCTGAATAATTTCGAATGTCATGAAGTTAATTATAAAAATCTTAACGAAATTAAAATTCAGATTGAAAATGCTATAAGTTATTTAAATCAAAACAATTACTCCATTTAATTATAAAACACTTAAAGTAATTTTTATCATTATACATTTCAATTACCCAAAACCTAAAACTGACAAAAATTTTGAAAAACTTGAATTAACAAATATATTTCTGCGTTAAATAAAATTTATTTTCAAGCGATTCGTGAAATAACTGCAAAATTTTGGTGCAACTTTTTTTTCAATATCTAAATTTTTATCTTGAGAAAATAGTCAAAATGTAAATTCTTATTTGATAAGTAATTTAATAATTGATTGGATATGCATTTTCTAGTAAACGTGACTCTACAAAAACTCATAAATAATAAACTTTAAACATAAACATAAGACAATTACAACCCATTTTAAGAATATTTAAATGGAGTCAAAATAAAATTTAAAAAATATATTTCTTTTCAGATATTATTTTGCACGATGAAATTAATAATATGCGTCTCTCAAAAACTTTCTGGTTGAAACTAAATAATAAAAAAAAGATTTTGATAGATTGCAAAAATTTCCTTTGGGATCTCTTTTTGCATTGCATTCATTCAATTATTATTATTACGTAAAGTTTTAGGGTGATAAAAATATTTTTTTTAAAAAAAAATGTCTCTTTTTCTTTCTATTATTTAAATTACTATTTCTTATGCTTTACTTTTCTTATCAGTTATGATTAAAATTATTTAGTTCATATCCAAATGGAAAATTTTTAGATCTAAAACAATAAATGTTTGTATCCGCTGATAATTACAAATGAACATTCTTAATAACTTTAAAGTTACAGCGGTGAGGTCTATTTATCTTTTACAAATTCTTTGTTACTAATTGACACAGGTTATACTGTATATAATAATCTCAAAATTAAAGTACATATGTTAAACTAACTAAATTATTTATTAAACTATATTGCAAGGAGTGAATAATAATTTATAATTAACCTGAATATTTACATGCATAATCCAAAATCATGAATCATTTCATTCTTTATATTAAAGTTCGTACTTATTTTATAATTGTATAAGAATTTAAATTCAAAAAAAAAATTATTCTAAAAATTACGTTTAAGCTTTTAGAAAGTTATCTCAAGACATTTCAGAACTTCTTAATGATAAAGAAGAATATACTGTTAAGTTGGCCAAGAATAAAATAAAAAACCTTCACTGCGCACTCAGCCGTTCTATCACTCATTTACATTAATAAAAGAATTAACAAATATTGTTCCAAATGATTTTAATAATAAAATTATTATTAAACCAAATATTATATCCAAATATTTGAAATTCTTCTCAAGTAAGCCTTAATCTAATATTTTGTACGATATACATTATAAAGTTAAATTATTTTAATAACTTTACATAGATATATCTATAGCGGAATTATTGATACAGAAAAGGTGGATATTAGAATTGATGATCAGGCGTAAATATCCGTAATATTACGAAACCTACGGAATTTATACGGACCGTTTTGAATTTTCAACGTAATATGTCGGCGGATATCGTTCTAAAGGATAAAAAAAATATGATCTTGTAGCTCAGAATCAGGGCTTTTGTTCGGTCATAAGAATACCTTACTTAAAAACCCTTCTCTGTCATACAAATCACGATCGAAGTCAAAAAGAAGTATTTTTTTTGCGTAAAAATTTCGGAAAAAGTTAGAAATTACGGAGAAATTATGGAATGAATTTCAATTGATTCTTCGAGCAAGTAAAGACGAGATATTTTGCGATGGACATGCTGACACAATTGTGGTCACTAAAGTTGAAGGAACGAACGAAATTATTGGTAAATTAATCCCTTAACTTGGGATAAACAAAAAAAGGTCGAAGAGAACAAATAAGAGTTTTATATTTTAATTTGAAGGTAATAATATCCAAAATTAATTCCAAGTAGAGTTAAATATCAAAATAATGCTTTATTTTATCCTCATTACAAAGATAAATTTGGACCAATATTTAGATCTGACAAATTTATGTTGACATCGGACGTATTTGATTTTACTCAAAATAAGCAAAATCTGTGTTATAAGTCTATTTCTTATTGTAGTATGAAAAATATATCAGAACAACTAATGAATATTTCTCTATAATGGATTATGAAGTATTTAAAGTTGTCAAAAAATCTATCCAAATTTTTTTTTATTTGGTTTAATTTATTATTTCATAAATCATTATACTTATGTATTAGTGTATATTATATAATAAATTTATTAAATTATTTATGAAAAGTTCTGATATACCTATCGTGAGACCATCACTCAATTATATATAATCTCAAATTTTTGGATTTTTTTTTTTTAATAATATTATAACGAAATTTTTTTTTAATTCTGAAAATTTGTCCAAAAATTGAATAATAAACTAAGTGAAATAAGTTCTTAAATTAGAAGCTTTGGATTCGATAATATGGTTTTGGGATCTCACGTACATAGTCCTTGTGTCCACATTTTATGGCAACAATCGATCAACACGCTATTCTGCATCAAACAATCCAGTTGCAATTAAATATCAAATGGATATTATAAATTATTTATCATTGCACATTAAGAATTATTTATACACATTGATGTTCACATAAATGAATCATTTGTTATTCATATTAACAGCGTGTTAAAAATATAATGCTATATTATTATTCCTAAATTCAATATTTATATATCAAAAAAAATCCAATAAAGTTTATGGAATAGTATTTTATTAATTTTAACTTTTCAATCGTTGACCTTCTCATCATAGTGTTATCTGTTCTGATAATTTTTTTTTTGTCTATTACCGAATTTATGAGAAATTAGATAATTATTTACTGGATAATAAAAATAAAACTTAACAGAAAATATACAAACCTTACCTTTATGTTCATTTTGTTCATTACTGATATAATCATTAAAGAAAATTAAAAACATTTTCAAGTTCAAGACAAGATCTTGACGAGCTTCTGTATTTTGTATATCATTCAGAATATCTAGATCTTCGATTTTTCAACATTTTGTTCTGCATCACAATCTTCTCTAATGTTAAAATCAAATAATTAAATAGGAAAATAAACAATAGTTTGATATGCTGATTAGGTAATCAACCAGTAAAGAAATACTTTAGTTAACAAGTAAAATATTATTTAAAAATAAATATTACAAGTGTACAAATCGACTATGTAATTCTGAATCTTTCTTGCTGATATTCTTCATTCATTGAAGGATTATTGTTAATACCGGATTTTCTAAAATTTGATCTCATTATTTATCAATTTGAATTTTAATTCTATTATTTTCATAATAATAGCATTTAATCTAACATTTCTGATAATTCTCCAAAAGTAAGTTGAACGCCCAAATATCGCAAATTCGCTTGTGTAATTAATTAAGAGTGTAAAATGGAGTTTTGGTCGTGATCCAATAAATATTTTCAAAGTTAATTCTCCATCATGTGGGCACATCAGGAAATGGTTGAAAACCAGTAACTATTTCATAGCTATTATTGCAAATGAATAGATATCAGCAGTTTTTGTATATATTCATTCCCTCTTAATGCTTCAAAAATATTTCACTTTCGGTGATATCTCCATTTTTCTCAATTAATTTACATAGTCCGAAATACAAAATCATATCTATTAAAATCATTTATAAAATATTCCAAGGTGAAAATACTGATGCACTATATTTAACTCATGAATTTCTTTAAATTTATAAGCTAAATCTCTTAAATAATTCGATCTATTATACCACTATTATTATTAAATTATTATTTGAATAATTTCTAAGATTTCCACCTTTTAGATATTCTAATATCAGCACATATTTTCAAGTTTCTGGATCTTTGCAATCCTGTAAAACACAATTGAAGATGTAATTAGATACATATGGCAGAAAATGGTCTAAAAGGAAGTTACTTGAGCAATCTGTCTGGTACGAATGATAATAAAGAAACCCTTCTATT